CGTTGCTGTTCATGGATGCGATCTCCTCCTCCCTTAGCTCATCGGTGAGTCCGTCAGCTGTAGGCTGCGCAGTCGCAAAGGCTGGTGTGGCATCAACATCATTTTCAATGATGTTGCCATCTGCGGTCTCCTCCGTTCCGTTGGTACTACCTCCGCTAGCACCGGTCCACAACTGTTGATTCTTCTGCTTTTGGCGTTTTAGGCTGACCCGGTGCACCCGTTCCATGTGCCTTTCACGATTGGACTTTGTGGAGAAGGACTTAGTACAGCGGGTGCAGGCGAAGGGCTTGTGAGCTGGAAAGGGATTTGATGGAAGGCAGGGAAATATTCATGAGAGACAGGGAAGGTTGAGTTATTAAAATTGATTTCTGTATTCAGTAGTAACCTCCAACAACATGGCTCAAAATACTCTTAATCCACAAACCATAAAAAGCGTGTAAGTGTGTTCGGGGACTTCGAATTTGTCTGTCAAGTGTCTGCTTCGGGATCTTTGGCAGTATGCAACGATGCGGCAGGTTTTCCCGCTGCAAGAAGTAAGTCAGTCTGATGTGACAAAATTCCTAATTATTTTGAGTTACAGCAAAGCCGGATGGGCAAGCATCTTGTGCTTTCTCCGTAAACAATTATTTGAAAGAAAGTTTAGTTCGGACAGAGGGGCAAAAGGGTGGAAAAGAACGAGAATGAAATTTGGCGAATTTTCTGAATTTGGATGCATCCTCCTTCCGAAGCACTTCTAACCCCCTCATAACCCTGCAAGTAAACCTACCACTAGCCATAACCCTAGCTGCAAACTCAACTTTAACTCAATTTAAAATGGGGGGGGGGGGAGAGATTATAGGTGTTCTTTACGATGAAACATCTTAGTTCCCTAAAATCGTTTGCACACGGCCGCTGCTCCTTTGAAAACGGGAAAGTGATTGCCTCGACAACCGAAGCGTTTTTTCCTCGTCTATTCGTGCTATTTAATAACACCGTCTGCTGACTATGTCCGTGCGTGCAGAACAGTGTTTTAAAATCGCTTCGCCAATCATTTTGTTGAATTCAAAAGGAGCACTCCTAGTCTAATTTACCGTAAGTCCTAATTACTTGTGAGTTATAGCACACTACGTGCTTATTCCTCTCCTAACACCTGCGTGCAATCTGAATCAATAATTAACGCCTTCTTCTTTCTTTAACCGCAAAAACGGCTGTCAGTAATAAACCATGCTTTACAAAAGCGTAGGAGTACAGAGACTCAAGCGACTTTATTGTCCGCCTATTTGTAAATTAGATAGCCGATACAACTCCCTGAATGTCGAAATCTGAAGGATCGTGGGTTATAGCTCAAATGAAGCACGCGACATTTGCCACTGTTAACTGGCATAACAGCCTTGGCGGTCTTCTCTTATTCCAGTCAACCGGACAGGCTTTTAGTCATAGGATTTGTTGGGCCGGAGTCCTTTGACCTATGGAGTTTCAAGCTCCTGTCGTCCTTAGAACCGTGAGGGCAACCTTTCAGCTACATTTATATAATTCCGAAAAAAAACCAGCAGTACACGGGTATGCATATCTGGGCGAGCTCACTTACGAGTATGCGTAAGAATGTGACGCTTTAACGAGCTGTGCCATGGAAATTTCTGTTTGCAGCCAGTCACAGGACAGGTTATCAGCCGGGGCGCATCCTTGTAGGAGTTCTTCTTCCGCACAACCAGTACTGGTGTCGGCGCTGGCGACAACTCGGTGGGACCGGTATTGCTGGCCATGGTCCCCGAAGCCTTCGACAGGGAGGAGGAAAAGGACGTGGGCAAGACCTCTTCAGGCAACCGAGAGTTCTGTGAGAAATCGCCACCCGGCGAGGTGAGACTGTCCATCGAGGTCAGATGTGGCTGACCCCTGTGGGAACTCGATAATGTTATCCCCAACATCGATGGTGGTGGTGGTAGCGTGTGATACATTGCTGGTACAGGCGATGCGGGAGACGGTTGAGGAGACACCGACAATAGGAGACTGGTCATAAAAGCTAGCGGATCAGTAGGCTGGATGGGTAGCACCGAATGTGTTGATGACCGAATTAGTGGAGGCGGTGGAGGAGGTGGTATCAATTTGGCCGGAGGCAGGAGAGTGGGGGCGAAAAGCGCCGCCTCCACGCCGAGGGCGACATCGACGTTTGAAGTTGCTGGAT